CATTTAATGAGCAAAAGGGGGAAATCCAGTTATTCCCTGGGAGGCCATTTTCCTTTGCTGGGTGTGGGTGGGGGGACTTGAAACAATTTATTTGTCTGCAAACCAGAGGACTAGAGGAAGTAATCTCTAAACACCATTTTTCCTCCAAGGTGGCAAATCTTGCTGAGCTGCCTCTGTGGGTTAGGGAGACATGAATGATTGTTCTCCTTCATGCCACACACAAAGCCTCAACAGACTTTTTCTGCACTCATGCAATAAGGGGAACCTTAAAACAGATTTTTCTGCTCTTGTGCCATAGGAAGGGAACTCAAAATGGCTTGTCTCCACTTGCACATTGAGGAAGATGTGCCAGTAAGAGGAGACTTGAAACAGATTTTGCCCCTCACATCATGGAAAGGGAACTTGAAACAGATTTTCCTGCCCAAACGCCAAGGCCTGGGTTCTTCATTTTGTGAATATCTGCACATCTTTTTATTACTATTATTTAAGAAACACTCACCCAGGATTTTGATGGACAAACAAAAAACACCTCAATTCCTCGATTTCTTAATCATTTCGATAACTGCCTTGCTCCACCCCGCACCAGGCTGCTTTTTAAATGGGGTTGGTTGAGGGGGACTAATTGCTTTGTTCTGCTGATTAGGAGCCTGGCTTGCCTGTGGGATCTGAGGCGGAGGGGTGAGGAGCTGGTGTACAATATAGATCTCCTTTTTAAGTCTTTTCATTTGGGTGCCATAACTAGACTGTACAGTTCCCTGCTCTCAGTCTCATCTCCTGTCCCCTTGCCTGCGTGGGTGGTGCGTGTGTGTGTGTGTCTCATAGTTTCTTTTTATATATAAATATATATACATAAAAGAAGGAAAATAAGAAAAAATAGAAATCAGTGTCCTCATGGAATGTATTAAAATAAAATTAAACAAAAACCAACCACTTTTTTTTAAAAAAAAAGCCAAATCAAGTGTGGAGACAGAAAGGGCCGGCAGGGGGTTGGGCTAATTCCTCAGCCACTGCCCACGTAGAAGGGAAAAACAATGAAAATGTTGGCTATTAAAAGGCCAGGTGCCATCGCTGGGTTTTGTGTATCCCAGGACCAAGGCTCCTGGGTTCTCTGCCGGCTCCAGGAGGGCGTGGGAAGGGGGCAGAGCTTGTGGCGGGGGCTGGCCAGGGAGCCCGGGTTTGCACTCCTGGCGCGGTGGCTCCGGATCCTGGCTGTCTTCAGGAGCAGTGTTCGGGCTCCTCCCAACCCCAGAAATGGCTGCATCAGGCAAGGGGGGGGCTGTGTGCCCCCTCCCCCAGCTCCGAACGGCTGCATCTCATGTTAATTAGTGGAGTAATTAATAATTAAGGAGGTTGCGGCTAGGGATGCAGAGGCTCTGCCTGCAGCTCCCGCACCCCCCCCCCCCCCCCCCGCAATTGGAAGGTTGAAGCCCTGTCTCCTAGCAACAAGCCTGGAGGCTCTCCCCCTGCCCACAGAGCTGCCATAGCAACTGCCTCCCCTGGTGCTTGGGTACCGGGTTGCACAGCATCCTCCTGCCCCCCCAGTCAGAGGAGGGGGGCCTTGCTCCTAGGGGCAGCTCCAGCCAGGTCCCGCCCCCAGCCCTGCCTGCCCACTGCAGCCCCCCTTCTCCCTTTGCCCAGGGCCCCCACCCCTGTTGTCCTTCACTGCCCTAGCCCCTCAGTCTCTCTCGCTTCTCCCAGGTCACTGGCTCTAGGAGCCATGCAGCAGGACGCAGCCTCCAAGCCCCACAGCTCCTGTGCCCCACAGGGGATCCCTCTGGCCACAACGGCAGAGAGGGGGGAGCTGCTGGTACGCACCCTTGCCAGCACCGCCCGTCTGGTGCACAGGGCTGGGGAGGCCCAGAAAGCCGCACAGGTACCTGCCTGGATGCCTGGGTCTTGTCCCCAGCCTGCTAAAGGTGCTGGTTTGGGCTGGGGGGCGGTAACCTGGGCCTCACAGGCACCACTGGGGTATGGGCTGTGGGAGGATCTGAGGGGGCAGCTCTGCGTGGAGGGACTATAGAGGGATGTATAGAAATGTTAGATGGATATTTCCCTAGGGAGTTCTACAGAGTGATGTATATGGGGGTGTCCAGAGGCATATATAGAAGTGCCTATAGGTGTTTCCCTGAGGACCTCTATAAGGGATGTATACGGGGGTGTCCAGGAGGATATATAGAGGTGCTTATAGGTGTTTCCCTACGGAGCTCTACATGGGATGTGTACGGGGGTGTCCAGGGGCGTATATAGAAATGCCTATAGGTGTTTCCACAGGGGCTGTGGGGCATGTGATATGCATGTCTTCCCCGTCTCTCCTCAGCTGGCCTGTTTCCACGCGGGACAGGCCCTAGCCCAGACGGGGGAGGTGCTGTCTCTTGCCAAACAGAGCTACCTGCAGGCTCGATGCCTGGGAGATGGGCTGCTGGGGTCT